CTGTGGCAGGACACTGTTGGTTGTAACCGTAACAGCTATTTCTCTCCTTTTCTTTCTCTGTTTTTTTTTTTTTTTATTTATTCATTTTTAAGACATGGAAAGAGACAGAATGAGTGGGGGAGAGGCAGAGAGAGAGGGAGACACAGAATCTGAAGCAGGCTCCAGGCTCTGAGCTGTCAGCACAGAGCCCGACACAGGACACGAACCCACGGACCAAGAGATCATGACCTGAGCTGAAGTCAAACACTTAACTGACTGAGTCACCTAGGCGCCCCTTTCCTTTTTTTTCAGGGAGAGAAAGAGAGAGGCAAATGGAGAGGGAGACAATCTTCAGCAGGCTCCACACTCAGCATGGAGCCCAACGTGGGGCCCAATCTCATGACCTCGAGATCATGATCTGAGCCAAAATCAAGAGCCAGATGCTTAACTGACTGAGCCATCCAGGTGCCCCTCTCTTTTTTGTTGTGCTGATACAGACTGAGTTTTGTGCAGGTGCCTTCACAGAGCTTTGTGTTTATGCATTAATGGGCTCCTGACCTACCCCAGGAGGCGATCAGGGTAAGTCTAAGGTATGCATGGTTCCCCACACCCCTTGCCAGTGATTGCTCTCCACGAGTGGGGTTTAATCTTAGAGAATGGGACCTGAGGAAAACCTGCTGTGGTGCTTCTGGGAAAGGTATCCTCCTTAATCAAAAGAAATGCACCGGAGGGAAGCCTCTGTTCCTTGCTAAACATGGTCTTCTTTGCAAATGCTGCCTAGGCCTGCTACAACCATTTACAACCATGAGGGGTGGATCGCTGACATGCTGGAGATGGCAGATGAAAGCGATGTCAAGCACCTGGGTCCTTAATGACAAGGCTGAGTCACAGAATTAACCGCAAACGAGTGCTACCTCTGGACTCTTAAAATATGAGATAGAGTTTTAAGCCGCTTCTAGTCAAGTTTCTGTTAATTGAAGCTGAAAGTGTATGTATTCAGACCGAATAGTTTGAATTTGCAGAAAGAGAGCTTGCTGATGGGGGAGACTGCACTTCCTTCATGCTTTAATTAAACAGCGTACAAAATATCTCCTTTCATTTCAAGCATGGCTAAAGAAACAGCAAACAACTTATGAGACCTGAGATCTTATGAATCCATGTAATTTAATTTGTGGAGTGAGCTGTATAGCCACAGGCTATGTATTAATGAATGCAGAAAAGATTCTGCAACCTCTGGTTACAGAGATGGCATCTCAGGACACCAGGGTGAGAAACACAGGTACTAATAAGCAGAGTACCTCTGGTTTTTACTACGAGAACAAGAAGAGCATCCAAGAAAATTGGTGGAGAAAAAGGCTCACTTACTTTTAATCGACTGAGATACACATCAGTGATGATTTAGAAAAGTTGATGGGCTGATGGCTACCTATCTATAGAAATAAACCGAGAAGACATGTCTTGCTCTGGAGACTTTATTATTTTTTTAATGATTATTTATTTTTGAGAGAGAGAAAGAGAGAGCACTAGTGGGAGAGGGGCAGAGAGAGAGAGAGACAGAGAGAGAGGATCCATAGCTGGCTCTGCGCTGAAAGTAGAGAGCCCGATGCAGGGCTCGAACCCACGAACTGTGAGGTCATGACCTGAACTGAAATTGGACGCTCAACTGACTGAGCCACCCGGGTGCCCCATGGAGTCTTTATTTTTAAGAGAAATTAGAGGTATGAGACGAAAACCATGACATCATAACTGTATAGGTTGTACAGGCTGGGCTTTTCTCCACAGCTCTATTCCATCTCTGCACTGGGAGTGTGAAACCAGAGAGGAAGTTACAAATGGGAGGGAAAAGAAGCTAGAGCACTGGTTGAGGGAAACACAAATCAGGAAAATCTGAAAACACGCAAAGCAAAATGATGCACTGGGACGAAGAGATGAGAGACGGAATTGATAAGAGAAGCCAGGGAGGGCAGCTGTGTTCACTGCCTACCTACCGTGTGCCACGTTGGTCATCATGCCTCCTCATTTAATTTGCACAACAATCTTGAAAAGAAACTATTTTTACCTCCATTTTACAGATACAGAAACTCAGACAGTAAGCTTATGTGACTTGCTCATCTAGGTGATTGGGTTGGGATTCACATTCAGGTCCAGCCTGTCACACTGCCACAAATTAAAAGTCTTTGAATTTACAAGTGCAAGGGCTGTAAGATGGGAAGAAAAAAATTAAGTCTGCCTTAGATATTCACATGTGGAACCCTTCAAGTTGTGAGTCAACACAAGACCAAATGAGCTGACTGATCTAAGTAGTGGGAAAGCTAGGTGTCTGGCATGAAGTGCGGGGAGAGGGAAAGGTAGGTTTCTGGGAGATGCTGAATGGACATGAAGTGGTCTTGAGTGATGCGATTTCATTGGGAGGGGTTCTTCCATGAGGTAGGGAGATAGAACAACAGAAGAGGACACAAGACAAACTGGGACTGGGGGTATAGAGGTATGGTAAGCCAAGCTATTTACTTGGTGCCTGGAGCTGTCCCACATGGTCAGTTGAAAGGGAAAGATAGGGAGACAGAGAAGTAATTGGTTGGGTTTGGTAGTGGTCCTGTGAGGCACCACGGTTTTTATCTGCAACATAGTCCTATTGGCTTCTCGTTGTCCCTAACAACAGTCCAGCTTTCTATCCACGTTAGAATAGGCTTCCTAAGAGGGATGTATCCCAAGTGCCACGAGAATATGCTTGTGCTTGGATTTTCTGGGTTAGTTCTTCCTGGGGAGGGTAGCCAGGAAGAGTTACCACAAGTTACCAGATCAGGAGGAAGATGGCCATCAAAAGAAACCCCAGAGCATCAATCTCATATCACCTCTATATGCCAGGTTTCACAGATACCTTACTTCCAGCATGTCCCAAACCAAGCTCATTTTCTTTTTTCTAACCCTGCTCTTTCTGTCTTTGTAACCACACGTCATAGCATCAAGACACTCATGCCAGAAACCATGGTATCATTCTAGACTCTTCCCTCTCCTCCTCTGACACATCCCAGGTCCCTCCAACTTCTCTCTTCAATCACCCTTCCTCTGTTAACTCCTTCCACACACAGTTATCATTGCCCTGCACCAGATCCTCACCATACCGTATCTGGATTCTTCTAGCTGTTCCTGCCCTTCTCATCCAGTCCCTTTTCAGTTCACTCCCCACACTGCCCAGAGTGAAGTTTCTACCATACTCCCTTGCTATGATTAGCTCTTGGTGAGTTACAGCATCAAGCACAAGCTCTTTGGCTACTCATTGTAGTACATGAGTCTCTCCAATAACTAGTGTTAAGTACTTCTTAATCTTTGTCTCTTCCTATGATTTGTTTTGAGCTTTATTATTTAGCAATATCTAACAGTTTATAGTTCTCAGAACATACCATACTGGTTCATGCCTTAGGTCTTTGTTCATGTCTGGATGTCTTTGTCATCTTTCACCACCTTGCTAACTCCTTAATCATCCTGTCCAGTACATTAGTCACCTTCTTCAGGAATCCTGAACCAAAGGTGAGGCTAAGTACCACCCCCTCCCTGCCCCCCTTCGCTTCTGTGCTCCAAATAGAGCCCTCATTAGATCCCTAATTTAACATATAGACATTTTCTGTCTAGGTATCTGCCTCCCTCAGAAGATCATAGAAGTCTAGATGGCAGGACCTTGAGACTTGCTTAGCTTTGTATGTTCAGTCATCTAAATAATAGACATAGTAGGCAGATAATAAATGTTTAATAAACCCAATGAAAATTCTCTTACATTGACCAAAGTTTGCAGTTTGCATTCATCACAGACACAGTTTCACATGCCATAAACGTACTTTGAGCTGGAGGGATACCCCTGGGCTGGTGGCCTGGGTAATACTTGTTACGCTGTCCAATTAATAATACTTCTGTTTTTAAAGAAGCAGACAGAAGTGTTATTTTTACAAATACTTTTTTAAAATTATGTAAACAAGATTTTGGAGACTAATGTCTAAATCATTGCAAGAGGATAAGGGTGTCTGTGTGGCTCATTTGGTTAAGCATCTGACTTTGGGTCAGGTCATCATCTCACAATTGATGGGTTTGAGCCCCGTGTTGGGTTTCCTGCTGACAACTCGGAGCCTGGAGCCTGCTTTTGATTGTGTCTACGTCTCTCTCTGCCCCACCCCCCACCAAAGATGGATAAACATTAAAAAAAATTTTTTTAATTAAATCATTACAAGAGGATATACTATAGTTATTTCTTTGCTGAATTACCATCTGCAAGTTAAACTCAACCATGAACCTCCAGGAAATGTCATTTTGAGATCGATGTATTGTATCTCCTTGTTTCTTTGTCCTGGTCACTTACAAAAACTAGTTTGAATCTTACCATATTGCAGGCTAAGTGCGGAGTCCATGGACTAGCTTGTGGATAAGACACACAAGAGCCCTCGGTAGTTTTAAGAGCTTACAGAACGGATGACGTATAGCCATTATGCTTTCCTCGGAATCGAGGATAGTTGAAAAATTGATGTCTTTCTCTTACAAAAATAGACTTTTTGCAAACTATGATACTGGAAGAAAGAATTTTGTACAGTTTATACTGTAGGCATAGGTATAGGTGGGGGGTTTTTCCCCCTATTTTATGTGGAAGGATTGTCTTTTTGCTGATCTACATGGACACTTTCAATTGGTTTCTTAATAGGTGTCAAATTTTAAGAAATAACGATTATATACCCAGAGTGTTGAGTGCCCCGAGTATGTGTGGACCCAATAGGTGTTGGTTGTTGACAGTGCGATATTTTACCTCTCCCATCACGATGAGTGGAAATGTGCCAGAGATAGGCCTCATTCCAGCCCCACTCTGTATAGCTAATAAGGTTTGTGCTCTTAGAAGAGCCCAGGGTATTCTTTGGGCCTCAGTTTTCTCATCTGTGAAATGTAAGGGTTCAACTTTATAGTCTTGAAACCAAAGTTATATTTGGTACTGAACACTGCTAAAAGCTTTAATGCTTGGATGATAGATTTGTGATCACATTTACCTTTCTTTTCTACTTTTCTGTGGTTTCTGTTCTTCTCAGTATTTTTTACTGGCTTGTTCTAGAAAATGAAAATAATGTATGGAATTACACTGCCTCTAAAACAACTAAATAGCATTATTTAAGTATCCGTTATACATACCACGATACCAGTAAGTAAATTATCTCTCATTTAGTTATTACGTCTGCACTGAGTTAATTATCTCTACTTACGATAAGGAACCTAAGGGCAGAGAGATGAAATAGCTTTCCCAATGCAACTAGTTAAGTTAGAGAATCAAGATGCTAAGCTCTACATACACATTCCTAGTAGGCCATGCTGCTTCTGTTTATAATATTTTAATATACAAGGAATTGGGGAATAAAAAAAAAAAAAGATTGGTCTAAGGAAGTTAGCCTGACCTAGGGACGATGCTAATATAGGCTGTGATTAAAATGCTTTAGGGTATTTTCTGTTTTCTAGTGGTTGAATTTTAAACTTTACCAATGTCATAGCTGGCTGAAAGTACACTCACCATCTGTTGTTAAAATCTCCAATCTTCTGGCTGTCCTTTTCAAATAGAGTAGTGTATGCACGTCTCCTCCTTAGTGATGTATGCTGTGCTTTCTATGAGCCACCGATCCGCCATCAATCCAGCTTCTCTACTAGCTGTTACCCAGCATCAGTGACAGATTTCAAGCAAAACTCTGCAGACTTGGCCTACAACCAATTCACGCTGCCTGACTTTAATTGCTTCTTAATCCTTTCATTAATCTCTTGTTGATCCTCTAACACAGACTGCACAAGAGCTATTCCAAACCTTCGCTCACTTTCAATTCAGGGTCCCATCCCTCCATCTCATTTTGAAGTGGACAGCTTCCCTTCTTTATCAAGAAGTTAGAGACTATGGGAGCCTTTTTTTTTTTTTTTTTTTTTTTTACAGTTGAGCATAAGAAGAGCTTTTCTTTAGAGTTAATGCTTCCACTTGAGTCCCAGGTGCCATGGCTTAATCACCTCTCCCTCCAGCATCATTAATCTTTTCTTCTCTTACTTCGACCATGTTGAAATATACATTCCTTAACCCTACACTCTGCATCACTCAACTTTCGTTAAACATCTTCCTTTAATTTCCGAAGCTGTTCTATTTATCTATATTCAGCATCTCCAAGTTTGCATTATCTATCCCCTCTCCATTTCCTTAAAATATTTATTTTGAAGCTCCATAGTCCAGTGAAGCTACTCTCTCAACAGAGCCCAGGGACCATTTTCCATTTTCTTAAGAAATATAATGACTTTTTTATAGTTTTTTTGACATCTCTTTAAGTACTGGATTTTTAATCTCTTTGTCATGATTTTTTTCCTCATTCCTAAGACCTTTTCATGACTCTTCTGGCTCCCCCATGGCTCTTCTTTCCAGCTTCTATATGTTCTTCTGTTACATGATGTTTCATTTCATAATGAGTCTCTGAAATACCTGACAACAAACTCGTATCTCTTCTAAGTTCCAATCCTCAGTATTTAGATATTCTATTAGTTTTAGTGTTCGCTCTAAAATAATTTTTGTTTCCCCCATAATTTTTTGCTCTTTTCATCATGTCTTGAGTGATAGAAATAGTACTGCCAGTTCCCCATTTATCCAAGTTTCTCTTCACCTGAATCCACACAATTATCATCTAGCCGTATTAGTTTTCTATGCTATATAATAACTTACCACACATTTAGCAGCTTAAAATACATTTATTATGTCGTATTTTCTCTTGGTCAGGATTCTAAGCATGGCTTAGCTAGGTCCTCTGCTTAGGGTCTTATGAGACTACAGTAAAGATACTAGCTGAGAATGAGGTCTCATGTGAAGTCTCAACTGGGAAATGATCCATTTCTAAGCTCCCACAAGTTGTTGGTAGAATTATTTTCCTTTTTTTTTTTTTTTTTTTTTTTTTTTTTTTTGTTTGTGGAGAAGAGGTATGTAGTTTTAAAACCAAGGGTGGCTTGCTTCTTCAGTGCTGTTGTGAGATCAAAATTGATAGGAGATCTGCTGCCTATCTGACCATCTATGTTAAACAAGAGAGTGGTAGCCAATCACTCTTACCATGTTTTTTTTGTTTTTGTTTTCATTTTGTTGTTGTTCTTGTTCTTTGTTTTTTGGCTACAGGCAAGTCATAGGTCCTGCCTACAGTCAAAGGAGAGGGATGATACCCGGCATAACGCCAAGGAGCTATCTTAGAATTTTGCCTATTTTCTACAGGACTCAGGCAAGGGAAAGAAGTGCCTCTTATCCATGCTTCTGGAACAATTTGGGAGCCAAATTGCATAAGCATAGAAAATGCACAAAAGACATTTTGTTAACTACTAAATCCCTGAGATTCCAGGGAAGGAATCAAATTGGGTTTAGAAAACAGATAAGATGGGTCAAACAGCTGCCATTAACATCTTCCCCAGATGGTCTAAGTCAGTGCTTAAGCTACCTGTGGTAATAGATCAAGATTTTTATTTGTGTGTTTCTGTGTTTGTTTGTAACATATCCAATCTATTACACACCAGAATTTTTGTAAAAGTAAATATGTGTGTGTGTGTGTGTGTGTGTATACAAAATGAAATAAAAAAGAAAACAAAAACATATAAAATGTGAGTCCAAATTTTTATAGATAAAACAGACATAAAATCACTCTGTTAAATTTCTATAAAAGTTTCTAAATGCTTATTTTTAATATACTTTTGTTTGTTTGTTTTTTATCTCAAGGACACATGACTGTTTGAGGAACAGCATTGTCTACAGTCCATACTCTGAGCAGGACTGATTTAATGCACTCCCACAGCATAAATTCTCCTGGGTATACATTAATTCCCTTTTCTAGATTCAAGTCTAGATCTCTTTTCTGAACATTTTTGTTTATTTATTCACAAATGAATTACTGAGCACTTACTGTTGGTCAGGCACCATGCAGCATGAGACAAAATGCTAGCTAAATTGATGGCTTCTCTTTACACATCTTTACTTTAGGATTCAAATGATCTCAAACACAGCATGCACGAACTTTGAAGAGTAAACTTACCATCTTCCCTGTCGCCTGCTACCCCTACTGTGTCTTCTAGCTTCACAGAAACTGTGAAAAAGAAACCAGATTACTTACTTCCAGATACAGATTTAAAATGCACTGTGAAAAATTCTGCCAATAAATCTCTTTCTACAGAAAAACTAAGATCAGAAAAAAAGAAAAGAAATTGATGATTTACCCATAGAAGATGAAATCTTGGAACAGTTATTCAAGAACACAAAATCAGAGTTAGAAATTGGAGTGAAAGTTCAAAAACAAGAGGAAGATGTCAATATTAGAAAAAGGCCAAGATTGGATATAGAAACAAATGGCACCTTGACTGATGAAGCAATACCAGAAGGTAACAGAATATCTCATGAAAATGAAATTGGGTAGAAACATAAGCTCAAGAAAGATTCACTATGGTCCACTGAAGAAGAACTATCTATCAAAGATAGACTTCAGGATGATGGTGGTATGCTTCCAAGGAAGGTGTTACTGACTGAATTTAGATCACTGGTGATTAGTAACTTTACCTCCAGAAATGCATCCAGTGTAAACAGTGATTATGGTCAACTAAAGAATTTCAAGGATTTCAAAACGGTCACATTTCCTGGAGTAGGAAAACATTCACACATCATTGGAGGATCAGATCTAATAGCTCATCATACTTGGAAGAATATAGAATTGGAAGAATTGTTAAGGCAGGAAATAAGGTGCGGAATCAACATGCAAAAGAAGAGTCTCTTGGTGATGATCTCTTTAGATACAATCCTAATGTAAAGAGGAGAAGATAGCTGAAGATTTTATAAAGAAGCCACAGACAAACATTTCCCATCAAGCATTTGTGTCCATTTCCTCTGGGATACATGAATAAAGTATATAGAAGAGATTTAAATTACAAATTTTTTCTGGCCTAAATTTGTTGAACAACATGCACAAAACTCCAAAAAAAAAAAAAAAGAAAGAAAAAGTCCCCAAACAAGAGACTAGAGTGCCGTTCTCTCTCCTTGCTCTCACTCTTTATATCTAGCCTTCAGTCCTTGTCAGTTCTCCCACTGACACTCCTCCATTCCACCCAGCTGTCTGGGCCACCACCTCTTCTCTGGCTCTTTTAATCTACTTTGACCCTCCTCCAGTTCGGCCTCACACTTCTTTCTAAACACAGATTGATTGTCTCTCTTTCTTTGTAAACTCTTTGGTAGCTCCCGTCACCTCCCTGGAAAGTCCTGGTTCCTCTAACTTGTGCTGGTTCCTGCTGCTCTCCACAACCTGGTTTGTGCTTTCCACTTCCATCCACAAATTGCCAAAGTCAGAATTTTACTTATTTACTCTTTACTCCCTCATGTTTTCTTTCCAGGATTTCAAATGTATCTATTGACATGTATCTCCAGTACTCCTACATTGGTTCAGACACCCAACATTTCCCATTGGGACCAGTGCTCTCCTTGACATCATTCTCACTTCTCTCCATTCAGCTGCCACAGTACATTCAAGAGGATCTTTCTTTTTCTTTTAATTTTTTAAATGTTTATTTATTTTTGAGAGAGAGAGGCAGAGTGAGAGCAGGGGAGGGGCAGAGAGAGAGGGAGACACAGAATCTAAAGCAGGCTCAGGCTGTAAGCTGTCAGCACAGAGCCCGACGTGGGGCCTGAACTCATGAACCATGAGATCATGACCTGAACCAAAGTCGGATGCTCCACCGACTGAGCCACCCAGGTGGCCCTAAAGAAGATCTTTCTAAACTCTAAATCTCATTATGTCATTGTTTTGCTAAGGATCCCTCCTCAGAGGTTCCTAACAGCTCACCTACCAAAAGACCTGAAAATCTATCAAGGTCTATTTTTTTTTTTTTAATAGACTGATTCCTGATTACATCTTCTCTTGCCTGACTTCCTCTCTGAAACTTTATCCCAACCACACTGAGTTATTTTCAATACCTAGGATTTGCTATGCTCTTTCTTGCGTCAGTTTTGTATGTTTGCTGAATTTCCTCCCTGACACATCTTTCACTTGATCCTTTATTTGAGTACTTCTTGTGGCCTCAACATTGGATCAGGGTTTTTGTTTGTTTGTTTGTTTTGTTTTTGGTTTTTTCCAGGAAAACTTCCATGCTGCATCCCCAGTCCCTGTCAGTGTCTGCCTTTATGGTCACTTTATAGCACTGTCAAATTTGGCTGTAATACAGAAAGGAAATGGCTGGAATATTTTCCATCATTAGACTGTGAATACTTGAATTTAGAAATTCCATCACATTTTCACTGACATTTTGAAATGGATATATGAATAGATTCTAGAGAACGGGTTTTTACGCACATTTTGGGGGCAAGCTCAGCTCCCTTTAATGAGGTCAAATTGATCTATCCTTCTTCTCCAGTTCTTGCTGTCACCACCCTGGTTCAAGATCTCATCATGGCATATCTGGAGTATCACTATAGCCTTCTCCTCACTTTTTGGGAATCCATTTAAATGCCTTTTCAGAGTCTTTAACTATGCATTCAGTGATAATAAATATTTGGTTAAAGGCATTTCGTTTTTCAACCAAAAAAAAATTTTGAGTACCTACTCTGTGCCAGTCACTCTTCTTGATGCTTGGGCTACATCCTCGGAAACAAAATAGAAACGAAACAAAACATAGTCTTGGGAACTTGCATTTATTTTATTACATTTTT